CAAATGCTATACAATCTAATAAGAGTCACAAATTACAACATTTAAGTATTCATTTGATTCTTCTTACAATGTCTGAAGTCTCCCAAAACAAATCTGTTCAACTCTTAGGAAGTGGGTCCTCTCTAGGTAGCTTGTGTGCAAGCTGGGAGATGAAAGGGCTGTGGGAACAGGAAGAGGGCTGCTGTGATACAGGACAGAAGAAAGACAATATACAGTAGGATTGTAGCTGCACTGTTCTGATTGAAGTACCTGAAGCTTCAGTAGAAAGAGAGCAGCATGCATTCCTAAATCCTGAATGCAGAGGGCTTCTCTGAGAAAATTGAGTCTGCCTAGCGTTACAGCAGCTCTCCCACATCTGCAAAGTTGTGTACCTTGCAAGTAATCCGTCTTCCCTGCAACTTCTTTCATTTATGAATACACATTTGTAATTTAAAAAGAGCATAATATTATAGGATTCTGGATTCTTTAAAAAATTTGTTCATGTACCTCTTAGGTAACATAGTCAAATATATAACTAAGTTAAGATCACTAAATGGTAAAACTAAAATAAATAAATAAATAAATAAATAAATAGGAGCCTTTTATAAGTTCCAGATGAAAATCCCAGGAGGAAATTCTCCACATGCAGTCTATTAAGGGAATATAACAGGCATTCTCAAAAATACTCCTACATCATTAACCACAGTACACTCAGGAGAAAGGACTTCTTAAAAATATCATCTGACCTATAAAACTGCATTAACAAGCTACATGTATATTAAGGATAAAGTGTGCAATTATGATTATTATTAATATTTAATCAATATTGAATGATAGTCTATTAACTACATATAGATAAACTCAGAAAACCACACTCATAGGAATATACATTTGAGATGACAGTTTAAATTACCTAAAATAACTAAATATCAACTCTAACATATTTTTGATGTTACACAGAGAAAATTACTGTTCAAACGTAACAGTTCATGAAGAATAAATTAATCTCTAGACTTTTTCTTTAATGAATACTCTTATTTTACCAAAATGTTACTGTTATATATTTGATGGAAAGAGACTAAAGTATAAGATATAAATAATTTGTATTTGATCACATATAACAAGATATCTGTGTACATCTACATCTATCTTTTATAGTATTTAGTTTTATGAACTTCTCATACTGAATTCCAAGTCCTGATCCAGTCATGTTATTTTAGAGTTGAGAAAGGCCAAGAGATAAAAATCCTAAAGTGTAGTAAGAAACACTTTTTTTAAAGTTTAGACTTTTACCATTATTAATATACAATGCCCTCTCATTTTTTTCTTTTATTTTTCTCTGTCTGTGGATTTAAAACAAAATAAAATATCTCAAATAAATTATTCACACTTTAAATAGGATGAAAACACAATGTGTTATTTTTCAAATATAGTCTCAACAAAGAATAGAGATGCAACGATAAGATATTTCTGTTTTCAGCTTAAAGATGAAAGTGGGATTTCACTCTAGGATTTTTGGTTAACTTATCAGAGCATACAGTTTGGGGTACAATACTTTATTTCTGAAGTATCCCATGAAGTATTTGTTACAAGGAATTCCTTTAAGATCCCAATATGACTTCTAAGTGAAACTTTCACGACAAAAATATACATAAACATACTCATTCTCTTTTCTAACTTCAGTTTAATAATACTTGATAGGTACTTGATTAAAGATAACAAATTTATATAAATATTTTAAATGTATAACTGCAGGCATATTTATGACAGTGAAATGCCAAATCTATACTACCCAAGTACATTTATAAAAGAACTACAAAAGAAGAAATTATATTGAAAAGAACCGTGTGTAGCCTTCCTTCCACCTATAACAGAATACAAAATAGTATTGCTCTATAATTGCGTTTTATTGACTACTAAAACTGTACCACTTTAAGCCGCTCTATTAAAATAGAAAGGACAACCAATGTTGAAGTTCTGGAGAATGTAGTCAAAGTTGCTTTAAATCACCTAATGGTAAACCACACTACAGTGCTAGATTAGCTAGGTCCTACAGAGTGGAAATAATTAGTTGTTGGCATAGAGGCCTAGTTTCAACCCTTCTCTACACTGAATTTGAAAATATATTAACTAAATTTGAATAGTTAGACTTTTTAAAGAAAAACAAATGATTATATTTAATGACTACACAATCACTGAGTTCCATGTTTATAATGAGA